ACACTTTCAATGCCAGGACATGGCTATATAGAACATTGTTCCAAATTAACATAGAAAAAAATAATTAAAACTAACAATCTATATTTATTGTTTATTTGTGGAAGAGATAGAATACTCATAATTTTTAAACATAATTGTAATACTTTTGTTATTTTAGTCACGTATGTTCATTAAAATAGAAAGTTTGAGTGGTTTGTTTTGTATACAATTACTTTATTGCAGGATTTCATATATAAATAAAATATTCTTCTAATTAGTTGCAAGTTAGGAAACTAACTTTGTAACTTTTTCCATCTTGAATCATCAATCTGGCATTAGTAATGCGTACATTTCAAGTATATTCGATTGAATAATAGTGCATGAAATTATTATTTGGCTTGGTATATTGATTTTTTAGGTAGTGCTCATAGACCAATAAAAAAATATTTTTATATTTTGAAGAAAAACATTTTAATGTCGGTCTAGTTTTTAACAATGTTCTTAGTCTGATTCTAAAAGAATCTTAAACTTTATTTTATGAAACATTATAAAAATCAAAATGTAAGATGTATTTTCTATTTTGTGGATGTATTCTGCAGGAGATCAAGTACTCTTATAATAGACGAAGCAAAACTTGCAGTTACTCACCTAATTTTATGATTTGCATAGAATTATGTATCTGTTATCTTTTAGCTTTCATCTGTTACACTTTATAAGGCAATTTCTATGAATGCATTGTAGTCAGAATGTAGTGCATGACTTAGTGTGGTAATTTGTTGACCAGAGTGAGCAGTTTCCATATTTGATTTGTTTTGTTGGTTTGTGGATTATTTTGATAGTTTCACATTTTCAAAACTTTCCCAGCGAAAAGTAGAGATAGCCCTTTATGGGTCTCTATTTTCTGTTAATTTCTGATTAATTTTCTAAAACTTCCATTTATTCTATGTGGTTGAAGATTTTTATAATTTATCTTTGCACATGGAAATTTATTAGTTGTTTCTCTTGTTAGGATTTTTTTGCAATTCTGAAGTGTGTATTCCTCTTTATTTCTGATGCTGCTTATTAAACTTCTGTGAACTTAACAGCCATACCTTATTTCCTCTTGATTAAAATTACTGATTTTTGGAAATTTTTGACTAATTTTAAAAAGGAAATTTTTCCTAATCAGAGTTCAGCAATTCAGCACTTCAGCAATTTGCTGATTTTCATGGTGAAATTTCAGTGTTTTAATAAACCATCAAACTGCTGTCCTTACAAATTAGATCTGCCTTTCTGAAAAATTATAAATGTGAAAAAAACGTTGTTTCTTTTTTTTAAAACTTCTTGGTTCAGAGTGTTAAGCTGTACAAGTTCTTTAAAATCGTCTTGTTATTTTCTACTAAAATCATCAATTCTAATTCTAAAGAAAACCCATCTTCCCCATTCCTAAATAGGGCCAAAATCTTTTTGGTTAAATGATGGCATATATATGCTATGAGAATTCAATAAAGCTCTAAACCTCATGGGTTCTCCAAGAAACTTTGCGAGTAATTCAACTCTCATCAGAAGTGCCAGAAGAAGATAAAAATAAATATAAAATGATACATTTTAACTAATACAGGAGTTAGTTAGGTAGACCAAACGGAGGAAAATTAGTCCTTTTGGGTGCTGATTTTATTTACTAAAATTTGAAACTGGAGTTGAATTGTAAATGTTTTTGTCAAGGTTACAAGAATTAACATAAAACTGACCAAAGATGAGTATTTTAACTTTTCAGCCTATAAAACACTTAAATTGCCTTTTTTGCTTCCTATACTGGATTCACTTGCTAGAATTTTTCAAATTCCATTTGAGGTTGAAGAGTAGATCAAAATTGCGACTTGATATTTAATTATTCACGAGCTTTGTAGAACTAATTCCATCTCAGTTTTTAGAAAAGTTATCAGGAATGTGTTTAGGAAGGATGTTGAAACCTTATTTACTCACCAGTAAAGAGATAATTGAAAGTTCAACAGATGATAAAATATATAATGAAATAGGTAGAAGAATTAAAAAATTCTAGAGTAGGGAAAAAAGGTAATTGGTGTAAGTGATAAAGAACAAAAAGTCATATTGGGAAAATTTTTTGCACAAAAATTGTTTGCAAAGTATTGGAAGGCGAACTAATGGGAAAAGATCCGAATACTTGATAATGTGAAAAATGGAAGAAGTTCTAATCAAATAAAAGCAGCAGCACCGAATAGAACAATATGGAGGACATCCAGTAACGCAGATCCATAAAGAAAAAGAAAGTACTGTGTTCATATTCAGGAGAAGTTATTCATTTTATATTTAGAATTTTTTATGAATTTGCAAAGAATGTACTTTTGTAAATGGATTTTGAAAATAATGTGTTCACTATTTTCAAAGTGAATAAATGTAAATAAAGCACATACGTTATTTTGAGTTTCTTTGCATGTTGTTGACTTTTTCTTCATTGAAATTGATTAATGAAATTGATTTGTTTATCATTCCAATTGTTTCTACAGAACACCTGCATCCTTGACAAATGATAATCAGAAAATTGAAACTTTTATTCCAAAAGAGTTGCTTAATTAGGATTAATTTCCCTATTTTTCTATCCCTTATTTGAATTCCCACATAAACCTAATCTTTACAGCGATACCGTTTAAGGGTTTAATATTAGATCTTTTTAAACTGATGAAAATTAGGTATTTGAGATCAGAAAAGTATTGGAGACATTATTTCTTAATTTTTATGTTGTAGTTCTGCTTGCACTAGAATCCAGTTACATTCCAGACACATTGCAAGCAGAAACTATGTAATTGCAAGTAAATATGGCATTTTTTCTTGCGAATTCCTTCCAGTGTTAATAAAATCCACTTAAAACCAAAACCTAAACAAAACATATTGAATTTGTGAGATGCAAATAAATAATTTTAACTCTGTAAATAATTATTTTCCATATTGTACTCAAAACATATCAATTACACTTTAAGAACCTTCATAAAGGAAAGATTTTAACTTTGATCGTTAAGGGTAATTGGTCACAGGGGTTATTGGTGATCTTTTCTTTCCCCCTTTTGTACCCTTTATGTAAATATGTATACGTGAGTTCTAATGTTATGCATTACAGCAACACTTTTTTTAAAAACCTTCATTTTGTCATTGTGTAATCTTCGTGTTCAAGGGATTTGTGATATGTTGTCAATATGTGTGCATGTGTGTGCTTGTGATATTTTATTACCTTTCACTAGAATGTGATGATCATTTATTTACCATTCCATTTGAGATGAATATATTTGAAATCCTCACTTGCAAATTTTAGTTACACATTGAACTGTTAAAGTTTAAAATTAAACATGTTTTAAAAATAGTTATTGCTTAAGCAATATACTGAAGTACTGACTATATGTATATATGGTTTGTGTGTTTCTGTGTCCTGAATATTCAAATGAAATTATTGTTAGTGTTATGGATATGATCTCATGAGGTAAAGAACTCTTTGTATTGATAATAAAATCAAAACCTCCTTCCGTCCTGAGCATTGTATTTTTAATAAAGTTTATCAATCCTTCTGCTATTTTTTGACAAATGCTTAGATGTTCCCTTTGATAATAAAGCCGGGCTATTGAATATATACCGAAAAAATGCACATTAAAGCACATTGATTGTGATATTATGCTATATATATAGACATAGAGATATTTATTTATTCCTGTTGATATTATATCTTTAAAGTATAACAATGGACTTTATATTCGAAACTGTAATGTTAATTATGACAGTTTTGCAACGTCAATAAAGGTAATTTTTTTGCATATGGCATTTCCAAGAATTTCCTGCCATTCCTGTCTGCTGCTAATGTACAAATAAAAAGCAATCTATACTATAAAGTTTTTCTGCTGTGCAAATGATTATATAAAACAGGACTGACAGGTATTGCCTTGGAAACTGTTTTTATTTCAAAACAATCATCATCCACTATAACATCTGCTTGGCAGAATCTCATTTGATTAGTAGTTTGGTTTGAAGAAGATAAAAAACGGAGTGGACGAACATACATCGACATTTTTAACAGAATATCCTCCCAACCTCTGGTTTGCAGAAATAAAGGATTTCCCTGCTGTTTCCTTTCTTTCCCGTTATTCTGATTATTTTTGTTTAACAGAGTAAAGGTTTTTACCATTCTCCCCATTCTAATTACTGAAAGCACTACCACTTTAGAATTGTATGATGATAATAAAATCTTTAACTTCATATTTGAATAACATAAGAGAAAGCAAATTAAAACTTCGTCACTCATATCATCCCAATTCTCCCCCCCTTGAGGGTATTCAGTAAATCCTTTATTAGAATACAGGAATGTGGAAGATTCTGCGCAAAATACTCAGTTGTGTTTACAGGATTGTGTGATGGTGGAATCTGTACATTGTATTATAATAAAGTTTTTCTAAAGCTGTTTTATGATATTTTTGTATTTAGTTAGTTGCAAAGCGATGTTTTTGTAATATTTGAATGTGCCATGCTCTATAGTTTGAGTGAGTCAGGTTGTAATTGCTCAATACTGCACTATCATTTCTGAACCAACTGGTTTAAAATTTACGGCTGCAGTAATTTAAGATTAACTTACAAAAATACTATATTTACAAAATGTCAATTCTTAACTTTCTGTATTCATTTAAAAATAGCTTGCTATAAAAGTAAATGTAAAATGTTTATAACAGTTTTTTGTTTAAAGAAAAATTAAACTTTGAATATTTTTTTTATAGTGAAATTTCCTTGAATTATGCATTGTTTGTTGTTGAGTAATCATACGTTTGTCCTTTTCCCTTTATTTGAAGTGTGAGAAACAAGTTTTGAAGTGAATAATTTCTGCGTTACCTGTTACTATGCCTTTTATGGCATGCAGAAAGTTTTTAAGCTGGAGAGCTGCCTGTGGAGTTCACCCAAGTGCTGATATCAGATGGATGTTGTTAACTTAGAGATTTTTTGTTTGTTTTTGAAAGCCTTTATTGACATTGTGACCTATCCATTCCTAGCTTCAGCCCCACTGACCACAAGTTTGTGACATGTTCGGATGATGGCACTCTGAGAATTTGGGACTTTCTTCGCTGCCATGAAGAACGAATATTGCGAGGTAGGTGGTAATTATTGCGAAAATTTCTGTTTGAAAAGCACCTAGTTCTGGTAATAAATGCTTGAAATGCATGAAAATGCTTTCCTGCTCTTGTTCAATAAAGTTGATGTATTAGATGAATTCTTTGTAATATGAAGTTCTATCTTTGTAATATGAGAACAATCAATAACTTCCCAGTGAATTGTATAAAATTTCTTAGTATATTTATTTCATTTTATCAGGAACTATGCGACTTACATGTCACTTTTGGAGTTTGGGTGTCTCCAGGTTTTGGCTTATGTACGACTTCAAAATTCAGTTTGATGTGATATAGATGTGATGCAGTTTCATTATTTAACTCAATTGTGAAGATACAAAGTCTCAAAAATTGTAAATTTTTATCTTGAATTCCACATTCACACTCGTTTTTATGTGCTGTTGGGTTGCATTTGATTTTGGAATTTACTAAGTATTATACTTCGATTGAAACATTATGTCCACTTGGTCAGCTGTGACGCTGTCGTCCAAGTGGGAGCTTGAATGTCACCATAATAGTTTTAATACTACGATTTATTTAATTGTACATTTGAAGTAAATCCGATCCTCATGATTTCATCCAATTGAGGGCTTGAATGTCCCCATAGTGACATATAAGTTCTGATTGGATGAAACGACAACAGTTAGTGTTACAATATAGCTGTACTATATTTACTATTGTTTTAATTGAAGTGTGTGTACAGAACTGCAAAACTGATAGTTATTTTCCAACATTAATTTTCTAATAAATAATCAATTTGTAGTTCTTAAGAAATATATAATTTTAATTGTGATTTATTACTTAAAATTAGTATTATTAATCTGTATTAAAAATAGTATTTGATTTAGAGGATTTATTGAGTAGTCTTCAAATATTAAGTTTGATTAATGGAATGAGCATAAAAGAAAGGTGATGCAAATGTACCAAGTGAAATGTTCTTATGATTGTTTTTCAAATTCGGAAGGAAACTTACAAATTGGAAGTCGAATTCAAAAATATTTGGTTTGCCTTGTAAAAATCAATATTGAATTAATCAAGGTATGTATTTTGAGTGTAAAACTCAAAAGATGGTGAAAGGCATTTGTGACAGATACTCACCTGTCCATTAATATTTGGCATTTGAAATAAAAAATGCTAATGCAGAAATTCATGAAAATAAAGCAGTGTTTAATTGGAGATATAAAATATGATTATTTTATAGGTCATGGAGCAGATGTTAAATGTGTTCATTGGCATCCACAGAAAGGATTGATTGTATCTGGAAGTAAAGATAATCAACAGCCTGTTAAATTATGGGATCCCAAAACAGGGCAGTCACTTGCAACTCTGTAAGACAGTTTTTTATAAATATTTATCATTCACTTATCGCAGATTTTAATTTTATTTTATTAGTGTTTCATGTATGTTATTAGATTAGTTATTCTGTTGCAATTTTGAGAATTCAGTTTCAAAACTTACATTCTGCAAATAAAAATTTGACAAAAATTTCCTTTTTTTCTTTTCTTTTTACAGTCATTGTGCACTATTTGTGTAGTTTGGTTTTTATGTATTATTATAATCTTTCTCTTTCAAGAAAAATAAATTCTTAGTGCATTATATTTACATGTTTAATATTGCGGTCTTAAAATCTTATTATCTTTAAATCTTAATCTTATTATAATCTCTTTTCTCCTTCAAGAAAAATAAATTCCTAGAGCATTATATTTACATGTTTAATATTGCAGTCTTAAAATGTTACATTTTTAGTTTTAAAATATATTGTTTAGGCATGCTCATAAGAGTACAGTGATGGACATCAAATGGAATAACAATGGCAACTGGTTAGTGACTGCATCGCGAGACCATCTTTTAAAGTTGTTTGATCTGCGTAATTTGTCTCAAGAAGTTCAAACTTTTCGAGGACATAAAAAAGAAGCAAGTAGTGTGGCTTGGCATCCATATCATGAAGGTTTATTTTGCAGTGGAGGTTCTGATGGAGCAATCCTTTTCTGGCATGTTGGGTGAGTTTTTAGAATAGTGCTTCAGTAAGAAAAAAGTGAGAATTCTTTCAAGTGTTTTGGTGTCTCTTCTCAGATGTGAATTGTAATAAAATGATATCATGTTTAAATACTTACTGTTGAATTTACATAAAAATTGTGTAATAGGGCTGATAAGGAAGTTGGCGGCATTGAACAAGCGCATGACAGTATAGTATGGACCTTAGCTTGGCATCCATTGGGACATATTCTCTGTTCCGGTTCTAATGACCATACTAGTAAATTTTGGACACGTAACAGACCAGGAGATCTTATGCGTGACAAGTATAATCTCAATACATTACCAGGAGGTTTACCCGGCATTGATGATCAAGACATAGGTATGTTTCACAAATGCTTAATATTATACATAATATTGATGTGAATAATTTGCATGAATTGTTACGTGATTTTTTTGTTGGTGAAAAAGTAAATATTTCTTGACTTATTAATTTGTGCAGTGATTAAAAATGTTAATGAAGCATTTGAAAAAATATGATCATGAATATTTCAGGTTTAATGCAACCGTTCTCATGTCTCCTTTATAATATAATACTCAGAGTACTTGTTGAAGTAGTCTGGTGTTGTCAGATTTTTATTTATCTCGGTCACCTATTAGCCCCTCCCCTCTCGCCTCGCCTCACCACCTCCTGCCCTGGCCCGCTCTCTATGCTACGCTCGGCCCGGCCCCGCCTCACCACCTCCTGCCCCGGCCCGCTCTCTATGCTACGCTCGGCCCGGCCCCGCCTCACCACCTCCTGCCCCGGCCCGCTCTATATGCTACGCTCGGCCGCCCCGCCCCTCAGCCACCTCCTGCCCCGGCCCCGCTCTCTATGCACGCTTCGGCCGGCCCCGCTCACCCCTCACTGCCCCGGCCGCTCTCTATGCCTACCGTTCGGCGGCCCCCGCCTAACAACTCTGACCTCGCCGTTGCCCGGGCCCGCTCCCGTCAGCCCACGCTTCTGCCGCGGCCGCTCTACCTTCTACGCTCGCCGGCCCGCTCTCCTCACTCGCCACGCCTCACTGCCCTGGCCCCGGCCCCTCACATCCTTTCCTGCCCCGGCCCGCTCTTAATGCCACGCGGCCCGGCCGCGCTCACCACTCCTGCCCGGCGCCGCTCTCTATGCACGCTCTCGCCGGCCCGCCTCAACCTCCTGCCCCGGCCCGCTCTATTGCCAGCTGGCCGCGGCCCCGCTCACCACCTCCCTGCCCGGCCCGCTCTCTATGCACCGTCTGCGCCCGTGCCCGCCTCACCACTTCCTGCCCGGCCCGCTCTCTATGCCACGTCTCGGCCCGGCCCCGCTTCACCACCTCCTCCCGGCCCGCTCTTAATCACGTCGACCCCCTCGACGCCCGTTCTAGGCCACCGGCCCCGCTCACCACCTCTGCCCGGCCGCTCTCTATATGCCAACGCTCGGCCGGCCCGCCTCACCACCTCTCGCTGCCCCGGCCCGCTCCTCTATGGCCACGTTCGGCGCCCACGGCCCCAGCCTCACCACACTCCTGCCCGGGCCCGCTCTCTATGGCCTACGCTCGGCCCGGCCCCGCTGCACCACCTCTGCCCCGCCCGCTCTCTATGCCACGCTGCGGCCGGCCCCGCTCACCACCTCCTGCCCGGCCCGCTCTCTATGCCACGCCCGGGCCCGGCCCCGCCTCACGCACCTCCTGCCCGGCCGCTCTCTATGCCACGCTCGCCCGGCCCGCCTCACCACCTCCTGCCCGGCCCGCTCTCTATGCCACGCTCGGCCCGGCCACCGCCTCACCACCCTCCTGCCCCGGCCCGCTCTTCTATGTTCCGCTCGCCCGGGCCGCCGCCTCAACCCCCTCCTGCCCCGGCCCGTCTCTATGCCACGCTCGGCCGGCCCGCTCACCACTCCTGCCCCGGCCCGCTCTCTCTATGGCCACGTTCGGCCCGGCCCCGCCCTCACCCACCTCCTGCCCCGGCCCGCTCTCTATGCCACCGCTCGGCCCGGCCCCGCCTCACCCACCTCCTGCCCCGGCCCGCTCTCTAATGCCACGCTCGGGCCAGCCCGGCCCCGCCTACGCGGCCCTGTCCTCTGAACTCCGCCCCCGGCTCTTCCTCGCTCTCCTCTACTCCGCCCCCTTCCCATCTTCTTTCTGCCTTAGCCCTACCCCGCCTTCACCTTTCTGTTCCGCCCCACCCCATCCGGTCACCTCTCACCCTCTGCCTCGCCTCTTCCCGCCCGCCCTCCCCTCCCCCTTCTGCCACCCATCCCGCCCCGCCCCCTCCTCCCATCTGTCCACCCCATCTCATCCCGCCCCACCCCATCCCGTCCCGCCTTGTCCCTCCCCTCTGTTCCACCACCTCCTTCCCTTCTTCCACCGCCCTCCTCCCTGCCCTATTACCCTACTCCTCGCCTGCCGCTCACACCACGCCTAAGTTTTTCCCGCCCCAAAGCTCTCCCCGCCCCGTTCTGCCACCCTCCCCACCTCGCTACCCACCGTCCTGACTTGCCGCACTGCCTCACCTCCTGGTCTTTCCCATCCAGTCCAGCCCATCCCTGCTTGGCCCCACCCCTATCGTTCGCTGCCCTACTTGCATGTATGCCCTGCAATCTGTATTACCATTGTTGATTGAATTAAACCCAAAAAATCCTCTTTCAGTCCAGAATGAAATTAGAAATTTGGATCTTGATTACATACTTCTGGATAGGAATATATGTTCCAAATGTCATATTTATAGGTTAAGTAGTTTTTGCTTTGCATTGATGTGCCTGCCTGTCAATCAGTTTCTTCTCTTATATAATTAACTATAAATTAAAATTGCCCGAAAATTTGAAATAAATGCCAGTTTGGGGGAATATTTTCTTCAGTAAAATTAAGTCAGTTTTTGCCCAATATTTTGGAAATTGTTATGAAATCAACCAGAGATTTGAAATGTTTGTAGAGATACAGGAGTAAAAATAGTACATTAGAAAGATTATGTAAGAGTTGTGTGTCAATATTTGGAAAATATTAATGTATGATTTTGGAGTCTTGCTATTAGTCACAGCAAAAAGAATGTGCATTGTTGTCATGAGAATACGTTTAGGTGAATGATTCACAAATGAATCAATGCATTGGTGCAGAAAAGTTAATTTTTGTTCCACAAAATCAATTTTCCTTGAAAATTGGTTATTAGGATATTGTGTTGTGTGCAGAAGTAATTTTGGTTGCAAATGTTCTAATCATTGTAATACGTCATATAATTAATACACAAACAGTGCAAGATTTATCGCTGTATTGAAAATAGGCGTAAATAAAAAATTAGTTCAAAGTTACACTATTCAATAGAAGATTACAAAAGTTATGACCATTCTAACATGAATGTCTATCTTCATTTTAAATGTTACTTTTTCAGATGAACCTGCTGTAATTCCTGGCATGGGTCCTGATGATAAAGTAGAAGTAGCTGCTACACCAGCTATAGCACAAATTCCAGGACTGGACTTTGAGGGAGTTGAAGATCGGCATAAGCCTTTTCACAAGAAGGTTCTGTGTACTTTGTGTATAATTTTAATAGTATTTTTGTAATTGCGGTATCTCATCATTACTTACTGTAAAATATTTTACAGGTTCCTTATTCAAAACCTATTCCTCGAAATTTTCAAGCTCAGTGGAATGAAACAGGTCGTGCAAATCATGAAGATGGAAGAGGTATTTGATTTATTGCATGGGTATTAGTGCCTGAAATATTGTGACTGAAAAATTTATTTTTAGTTTTCAATTGATTCAAATACTATTTTGTAAATATGATTGGCATCATTTTGAAATCTACCATTGCCCTGTTATCCTGACCAAATTGTTTATTAGAATCCAGTGAGTGGGTTTGTCATTTCAAGACAAGCTTCATTTGGACATTCCTTAATTTCCTTCATCCCTCATGTAGTCTTACCCTTGCTATCCTGCTACAAATCGTGATGTACAACCATCTTCCTAAATCAACCAATATTGAAATCACATTCTTAGAGTAGCATTCTGCCTGTTTCTATGTTTGTTGACAGATGATGACAGTGATGATGATGAATCGTGGCGAACTCGACGGCAAGCCTTCATTAAGGATCCAATTACAGAAGTCATCACTCAGCTTATTGAAACAAATCCTCCTCCTGGAGTTCTCCCATTGAGTCAATTGCAACCTCAGGCTATTATTGTATATGGCAAACTTCTGCCTGTTGAAGGTCAGACATTCTTTGAGATAATTGTTATGACTCCCTATTCCAGAATCGGATATTGAATCGCCTTCCTTGATCCTTCAGTCTTCTTTGATTCTTCTCCTGGAGATCGCAATTTCCGTGACAACCCACAATGTCATTCCCCATGACCTGTCATTTTTTTCTGGTCTTATATTGTCTATTTTGTTCTAATAGCTTGTTTTTGTCTTGAAAGTTATGTACACTAAATTTTTTATTTGGTGAATTTGTTAAATCTATGTACATTTTGTTTGATTTTTGTTTATTTGAATAATAAGTATGATTTTAGTATTTTCTGTCATAAAATTGTTATTTTTGCAGGTAATCCAGTATTGGCACAAGCTATAACCGATGGTCCTGAAGCTTTACAGCGTTTAATTAATTCAGGAGAAATTGAGGAGCTGCATGATGTCATGCCTCACATTGATGATGAAGAATACGAGTACAAAGATGATGATATGGATCTTGAAACTATGTCGGACATTGAACTACCAGCACCTCTTCCCTCTTCTGTTTTTGCAAAGAAAAATCCTGCTGGTGGCTCTACTCCAAATTCTGGAAATGGTGGAAGCTCAAGCACAAATAATGCTAGTGTGGGAAATTCTGTAGAACGTCAGCGTAAGTCACGTTTTAGCGATTTACATGATACTCCTCCCATACAAAATGATAACCCACAGTACACTTCTGGAAATGTTGCCCCAGGATCTACAGGCCTTGAGGACAAAGACATGCGAATGCTTCAAATTCGAGGACCTTTGTTTCCTACACCTGGAGGACCATCAGATCAAGATATGAGATTTGGTCATGGTGATATGGACCTTAGACAACATGCTCATCCTACCATGCCTCCTTCTGACCAAGATTTCCGTCATTTATCAGCAGATAGTGATATGCGGCCAATGAGCGGTGGCCGTCTTCCTATGGATGAAGACATGAGACTAACTGTGGATCAAGATCTGCGTGGAGCTCCAATGTCACAACCATTACTACCTCGTCCAAATCAGGGATCTCCTCTTGGTAGATCACGAGATATAGATTCTCGAAATCCACACTATGAAATGAGTGGACAGTTTCAAGGTGGACATCGCAATTTGCCTTTACTGGATCATGAAGGTGGTTGGAATGGTCCGAGAAAACGGCGGTGGGGCGAGACAAATCAGGAAGAAGAGGGAATGCAACTTGGAAACAGTTCTGGCCAAGGAAGTGCAACACCTTACAATCGTGGTGGATTTGGAAGTAGTAGAGGGAATTATTTACCTGGTCGAGGAAGTAGCCCTGGTGGAACATTTGGCCCGGGTAGGGGAAGTCCTGGCAGTAATTTTGGTCCGGGCCGAATGGGTAGTCCTAACAGGAACTTTGGGCCTGATAGAATAAATTATGGATCTGGTGATGCCAGGGGTGCTGGCAGTGAGAATACTTTTGGACCTCGAGGAGGAAATGAGAATTATGGTCCTACAGATGATGTAGAAAGCTTACGCGGTGGCAATTTTGGAATGGGAGGTATGAGAGGTGGTAACTTTGGACCAGGTATGGGGGATGATAGAGGAGACAATTATGGCTCAGAAGAAGAAATAGATAATGAAGATCTTGAATCTGGGAGAGGAAATGGAGATTGGGGTAACTCTTATTCTCACCAAGGACAAGGAGGAATGTACCAAGGTCATCATCCAGATTCTAGTTTCAGGGGTCGTGGAGGGCGAGGAGTGTTTCACAGAGGAGGAAGAATGGGCAGTTTCGATAATCATAGAGGTGTGATGAGAGGAGGACCACGAGGTAGATATGGTGGTGGCAGAAGTCGTGGTGGTCGAGGACAAAAACGAAGTAAAGAACGTGGAAAATTTTGATTGCCAGAACATTGTGTGAAGTGTGGCAATGAAAACTTTACTGAGAGAGAAGTTGATTAGTTTTTAAGTTTAGTGAATATCACAATAAAAAAAATGAAGTAACATGAAATGAAAATTTATGTTGGTAATTTATATAGACTGTTGAAGTTGAATGTCTTCAAGAAGGTCAAAAGCTCTTCCCCAATTGTGTTTATTTTTTCTACATTTTCCAGTTTTTTCCTGCAATGAAAATATTCTCCTATTTTATTTGAGATTTGCTCATTCTACTCCTTTTGAATTTTCCTTAAGATTTATTTGTAAGAGATTACAAAAATACGAAACAGGCTAATGTTTTAACAAGACTAAGAAATTCAAATGCTTTTCTGTAGTTTTTACTGTCACTTAATCTATTGTATATGAGTTACTTCGTATGGTCAGTGGAGTGCGCTGTTAAGAGTTCATATATTCAAACAATACATACAAATGTGCATGGGTGGGTATGTATGTGTGATATGTGTATGATATATATACATACATACTCATACATACACATGAATGCATGTGTCATGTACATACTATACATACATAGATACTGTCATAGACACCAACACATTATTATTCAATCGTACTTGGTATTGCCTTGAGTAAATCGAAAAATATCACACATCTTCATGTGTTGGGTATATATCAAGAATGGTAAACTGAAATTTTGCATCAAAATGTTAACAAAGGAAAGGTGAATGTATTTTTGAGCATATTCATCTATTCAGAAATGGTGAGATTTTGTTTAATGTGATGTGTTTGTGGAGTGAATGGAAGAATAAATAATGGATGAGTAAATGAAAAGAATGAATTAATGTACCTATGCATGTATGTGTGTGTCGGCTACTATCTGCATTTTCAGAAATGGTTAATAAAGAAAGATGGGATTTTTGGAATTGGTATTGCTTGATTCATGAAGAGTTTTGTTATTTTTCTCTAATTATATGTACATAGTATATATATAAAATACTGTGATATATAAACGTGGTAATATGTAAAGTTCAAATGCGTTTCATTCTTTTACAAAAGGTTTATGAAAGTAACGTCATAAATGATTTTTGTATTGTGTGTAGAGGCTTATAAAATTAAGTCTTTATTAATTCAATTGTAATAAATTGCACATAATCAGAAGATAATACTGATAAACTTGTGGACATTTTCTTTGGTGAATGTTTTTTATTGACTTCAATCAGTTCTTCCAAACGTAAATGCCCTGCTTATGTGCAATTCTTGCATATGAATAGCTTCAATCATTGGTTTAACAGAGAATTGAACAATATTATCATTGCTTGCTTTTCTGTTCGGATGGGACTCCATTTCAATCCTCTGGTCTGCTTTGTAGGCCATGACGTTTTAGAGTGTAAGATTATTGTTTAAAAAAGTTTTGCAGAAATAAAATTGTAAAACCTGTTTTTATGTATTGAAAACATGTAAGGGTGATTTGAGTACATCAGACATTTGTGCAAAAATTATTATTCCTGTTGCATTTTTCTAATTTTTAATTGCATATTGAAATATTGTTCAGGAAATCTTTGCTGTTACCAACTTGACAGTTAAGTTGGCCTTCTAAAAATGTTGAACAATATTGTGCACACATTTTCTTTTTCATTTCCCCTTCCCCTAAATATTTTACGAAACTTTGGTAGATGACAAAATGTAGTTTTGGAATATTTTGTTGTTAACTTTATTAATTTGTAAGTTACACTTTCTGCTGAATTACCATCAGCAAGCACGTTTGGCAGGACAAATAAAATATCATTTCTGTTATGTATTCAGTATTAAGGAATGCAAATTGGAGTCATACTACCCAGTACAGAATACATTTTTTTTATTTGTTATTAATCTTTAAATATTGAATTCCTGTTTGTCAATTTAGAATAACTACAGTTGCTAATTTTTTCTTGATATAATTGCAAATTATGTGCGGATGTAGGGAGCAGATGTTAAAAGGTACCGAGCCATTCGTCAAGAAATCCACTTACGTAAACTGTATCGAGTAATATTTCGGGATTTGGCGTTGTGGATAAGCTATTTTTGTGCGAAAGTTGATATAAACTATGAATCTACCTTCATAAAGATTCTGAAGATACTTGTGTCATTGGGAAAACGAGAGATTCAAGGTAAGTGCTGTTTATTTTATCTGATCTTTCATAAAGACTGATTAAATTAATTGTGTAGATAATTTGGTTTTGATTCATGAATCTGAAGACCGCGCATAGCCATATCCCGCCCGACCGTACCCTGCAGTTGATTCCGTCTGAGTGCAGCAACATTCATGTACACTGAACTTATGTTGTAATTTACATATTTTTAAGTAATCTCGAGATTAATCGTATTAAAAAGTTATCTTCAATGATACTGGATTGAAGGAAATATAAGGCGTTTAGAATTTTTATTTTATCATTTGTAACCGTGAAGTGCAAGCATGACAGCTAGTGACATTTGACAATCGCTTTCGGAAGAGAATCGTAATTCGTAATTTTCGTAATCAGAGACATATAAGTCCGAGAATAACTGAAATACTTGTGAATTCAGCGTGTGGTTTAAGTTATCGGCGCTGAGCTTTTTAATTTTACGCAATGAAAAAAGTGTTGTGTTCCTTAATGTAGTTGAAAAATCTCGTACATTCCGATGGTCGTATTTTATATCTAATAATATACATATCGCGTGCTGATGGAGTGACGTTGTGTTTGGATGCTGCTGTACATATGTTCACGTCTTATTAAATACTCCGTGCCAAGTGTTTCCTGTTAGTTTTTCGAGTGACAAGCGAGTTTTTAGCGAGTGATATTAAAATCTAGTCTCTGAATGATGCCATTGTAGTTCGTAGTCGTAAGTAATAAGTTGTGACGTTCTTGAATTATTGTACTTAAAGTACTACTACCTCAAGTTGTTCTTTCTAATGTTTGTTGTGCGATGTTTTTGTTAGGAGATATGTCGGCTACCAAAGGGCCAGGACTGTATGAATTTTTGATTGAAGCCGAGTTACAACAATATTATGCAGGCATCAAGAATGACCTGAAAGTGAGTTCATTTCACGTCTCGCGCTTTCCAATACAGTGTTGATATACCTTAATATGGAAATGAACAGCAGAACTTTGTTAGAATAATCATAGTGCCCAGTAATTTTGAGTTACTGTGTACCTGAATTGTTATGCATTTCGTGAATTAACCTCCACTATTAAATTATTCATCCAAATTCTAAAGTGTTGCTCATGGAAAATTTTCTATTTCATCTAATATGTATTATTAATATATGAATTAATGTGTTTCTAGGTCTCCAATGTTCCTCAGTTAAAATATGTGACTGATGATGATTTACATCACATTGGCATGTCAAAACCAGAAATGAGACGACTAAGAAAGTTCTTTCAGAAGCATTTTCCCCAGAATTATTTACTGAAATTTAAAAAAGTAAGTGCAACGGTGTAATACTGATCAAATCCCAATATTAATTTTTACCCTGATAAGAACACATAATTTTTTTTCGCAATAAGACTTTGTTTTTTCTATTAATGTCTCAAATTTAGCAAAGTCATATCATTGCTATTGTTTAGAATATTTGTACATTCATCTCTGCATTTAAATTGTTTTTAATTAGCAGCCTCACTTTCTTTGCTTCCTCATATATATCATTAAGCTCTGACTTCATATTCGTAAAATTTTGAGAGACAAGACATACGTCATCTACGTACTCTAGGCCTTCCAGAGTTCCTGTGAAACTCCATCTAATGCCTTTTCTTTCCTTTGTTGCTACTTTTTCCATCACATCATTCAGTATTGCTATAAATAAAAGGAAAAAAAGTGATAGGCCAAACCCTGCTTCACTCCCTGTTTTACTTCTATTCTGTCTGATATTTCCCTCCCATGAGTTAGGTAATATCATAAATCATCTTATAGTTATATACTTTCAATTAAGCTTTAGGTATCTTAGGATTCCTTAATACTGTCCATATGCTATTTCAAATTAGCGAATTAAACTCTATCAGAAAATCAATACAGTATATATTCGACTTTTCCATTCTACACCATTCAATAATTATCGTTGTAATCGTAATTATCGTACACCATTCATTAATTAATCTGGTAAACACATGATTTCTCTGGACAGAACTCGAAATAGTATTCTGGACCAAATCTGGCATGAGGCAGATAATAATGTGATCCTCTCCAATTGTTACAGCCTGTGAGGTTTCCTTTGTTTGATAAATTTACAAGTATTCCGTTTTGCAGGAATCTTTTTCTTTTCCCATACCTCCTTAAAAAAGCTGTAGAGGATCTTAAGATAGTATTTATGTTGTTTACAAGGACTTCAGTCGTTATATTTTCCATACCTGGAGCTTCCCTGTGTTTGTTTTTTGTGCTTCTTTTCTCTCTCTCTCTCTCTCTCTCTCTCTCTCTCTCTCTGTTGGGGCTTGATCTTGGATTTCCTCTTCACCATTTGTTTCATCTCTTCGTTCTTGGTCATTCATTTCTAGGGATAGGTTAGGAGTAGTGCCTGCATTATATACCTTGTTGAAGTACTTATGCCACCAGTTTATTTGGTTCTCTTCATTTGTAATTTTCCATTTAAATTTTTTCAGGTTAACATCTCACTTTTTGTGGGAATGCATTCTAGTTCCATTATACAATTCTTCCATATAATTTTTGTCTACATTTTCTTCTTCCTCTGCTTTGTGCTCAATCCATCTGTTTATCATTTCTAAAGCGTTTCTTTACGTCCTTGTCGATATCTGTGTACTGTACTGTTCTGTGTCTGGTTTTGCTTTGTCATAAACTGTTAAGTTTCTTTTATTATTTTTTATGTAACATCTACAGATATCTAATTTATGCATGCATTCAATCTGGAATTTAGTCGTGAATTTTCAGATTCATTGATGAGGACCTGTTTGACATCTGTATGTGGACAGGTCCCTTGTAAGGCCCTGGACTCCTGTGAATATTAGCTAACAAAACAATAACATAGAAGAGTGGCTTGATATGTGCCAAATTAATTATTCAGTGTTATTTGTAGTTATGAGAAAAAGGGAAAAGTTGCTCAAGATGAATACCTAATCTGATCCTTAGTTCTTTGTGTCAAAGCAAATTAAATATGAAATTGAGGAAATAAATTTTTCTTGTAGTTATGATTTATTAGGATATAAAAAAGAACTTGATAAAACTGAAAATTATCCTAGTTTTGTCAAATCTAACTTTTGAACCAAATAATTATGAATGATTGTAAGCATTGTTTTTTTATTTCCCTATCAAATCATGATAGACTCCAACAGAGTATTTTGATTGCTAACTAATACAAATCAAGGAAATAATACCAAATAAGTTGAATGAAAACACATTATTTCCAAAACGTTCCTTTCAAAGCTTTGTAAATATGTTGAATTGTATCAACATGAAACCTATCCAAATTAATCATGTAATTATTTTCGAAATTTATCATTAGATAAGCAGATTTTTTTAACTGAATTCTCGTGTTCTCTTACTATTGCATGCCTTCTGTAAGAGATATTTACATGAAAAGGCATTCTCGAGATGTATTAAGTTCTTTATCCAAGAATGGGAATATTGCTTTTAGTTATGGACCTCCTCATAATTTCTTACTGAATTTCTTTCATTAGGTTTTCTTTCCTGTGAAGAGAAACTGTTCTCACAATCGATATGGAGGAGAAAACCATTATTTTCCCACAGTACTATTGTTATCATATGAAGCCCGATGTTTTTTCCTCTGTAGATGATATTACCTCGCCGTGAAGAGCATGTAGCATCTATGATGGCAATGCTACCTGACGAGGGCCCTGAGAAACCGCCTATTAAGGTTCCTAATAAGCACATTATTCCTGCTGAAGCTATCATTGTCAACAAAGAGCTTGGAACTGGGGAATTTGGAGTAGTTCAGCAGGGTGTTTGGACAAATGACGGAGAAAGAGTATGTAATTTTTTTTAAATGATTCTCTTTAGAGTAAAGACGATGATTTAAAATTGCCTTCAGAACTCGGATAATTGGCTGCAACACAATATCCGGTTATTGTGAAACTATTAGTGAATTTCCAAAGAATGACCTGCTCCATGGTGACAAAACATTAAATACACATGATGAGATAGAATGAAATTAGTGTGACAGAGGAAATACTTTCCCTGAATTAAAGCAATGATCCCTAGAGAAAAGGTGGAAGTGATGCATTAGGGCTGCGACATGCCAGACATGCCACTGTTTCATAATTATTTGTGCATTGTAGTGTAATTGGAGCATGTTTATCCTATATTGTACCTTAAGGATACATTATCACGTACGTGTCATGTGTAAACAAACGTTCAGCATGTTGTTGTAGACAGAGAATTTTATTTCCAAATTTCTTGCAGAAAAGAAATTGTCATAGAAAAAGGAAGTCCCCCCCCTTTCAAGACTGAAGGCAATTTTGAATCATAGTTAATGGTTTTAGTTGATGAGAATAAATGACATATGAACCAACGGAAACAACTCCAAATTAAAGTAAAAATTTGAGCAGTCTTAACACATTTTTCTATTGCTAGTTTCATAACTCTGCACTACTTTTATTTGGTATAAAATTGTTTTAACATACAAATGACTACAATTTCAGGTAATTAAATGTTTCCTTGAATTTGTACATTCATAATGTTATCTATATTTACATTGATTTAGATTTATATTTATTTAGTTAAAAAACAGTAAAAACTATGTGACGTATGGGGGAGAAGATCATCAGCGCAAGTTTTCTTGAGTTCCAGAATCCCTTTCCATCATAAATCCCAACTATAAATAATTGATGGATGAGAAAAAGTTAAAAATAAATTAATGAAAATAAACTTAAAAAAAGCGCAAGATTAGCAACATTTGAAAAATTATACTTTTTCATTCTCGAATTGTAGAAAACTTACTTGAAACAGTAAACAAATTGCAGGTTTGATTTTTCTGCATTGCTAACAAAATAGTACTCGCTTCTACCGCTACCAGCAAAAGAAGAGTCCCACAAAACGTGCGCATAGTGAAGCTACATTTATGTCCAGGTGCAAAAAAAGAGCCATCTCAGCATTTGCTCAATGTATCTGGGAAACTGGACAATAACCTTATCGAGATGGGGGGGGGGGGGTCATTGACCCGACAACTGAAGTACATTATTTGTTACAAGCATATTTAGTCTTTTTAAACCATTTATACAATACAAATGTAAACTAATTCATTATATATCACTGTTTTGGTAAACTAAACATAATTTTTCTTTGATCAGTATAGTCTGTAATTATATAGGAACAGTAGTGCAGTAGAAAATATTTTACTTTTAACTTAAATTTGTGTACCAACTTCAATTGTTTAATGTCATCTGGCAATGTGTTATAAAGTAATGTACATGTATTTTATGTGGATGGATTCTGATAGTGAGCTGTTGATACAAATGCTTGCTGTAGATGATTTCTATGTGTTGTAATTGTAAATATCAGTATTGCATGAAAATATGTTCCCGCCCTTAGTCAGTTTTGACAAATATTACAGATTCGTAAATAAATAGGCAAGACAGTGGTAAGATACCAAGCTCAATGAAGAGAGATTTGCAGGGATCACGCGGATGGCATTTGTTCATTATTTGAATAATTTTCTTTTGCAATCTAAAGGTCTGGGTACGACATGAGCAGCTTGCCCAGAGTATTTTGCCATATCTCAGGCGGGAATGCACTTTGCAATATACATGCAATGAGATACGAATACATAACATAATGAATGCATTTAGTGTTTAATTCTGTTATATGTACATTCCATTTGAGGATCGACTGAATTGAGAGACCTAAAAATTTTGTTACCGTAACATCAGTTAATTGCATTTTGTTCATTTTCAATGGATTGCACACAGGAATTGCAAGAAAACTATTCAACCTCTCGGCATTTGAGAGGTCTATGGTTTTGAAAGGTATGCAGGAATTGAGTGGAAAAAACAAGACGCCACACACACACACACACACACACACGCACACGCACGCGCACGCGCACGCGCACACGCACACGCACAGGCTGCATTAAAAAAAAGTCACCTTTAAAACGTTTTAAAATGGGTTTAGGGGTACCATAAACACAAATTTTCGACGTGTTTCGCAACCTTTTACAAAATTACTAATAAATATTATTTAAAGTTATTATTAACAAGGGTTTTTTGGCAGTGTTGTTGCCCACATTACCCTGCAACACCTTTATCGTAATCAAACATTACTTATTTGACTCAGAGTCCCATGTTTGCTCGAATATTGCCAATTTTACTTAAAAAAACACACACACAGGCATTTGGAAGCCCATGAACTATTTTCTCCCCCTCTGCGTTTCGGTGTGCCCGTGGAGGTTACCCGGTCCTCATCCTGACGGGGGGGGGATGCAGGAAGGGCTCTCAATTATTTCTTTCATTTACCAGTCATCTTTATATTCCCTATCGTTAATTCTCGTCCTTTGATAACATCCTGTCTTTTCTTCTACCCTTTCTATTTCAGTGCCCCATCCCCATATCCTGAACACCCCACCCATGTGTTTGCCGTGCATGGCGAACCGTGTCGGAGGGGGTGTGTGTTCTGGCAGTTGACGTGTCTGTTTCCCTACTACTCCTTGTGGTACTTTCTAGTTTGCATTAAGGGATATGTCGTTAACGTACTTTGGGGAAGTTTCTTGTAGGTTTCCAACACCCTTACTTTGGCCTCGGACTCTCTAGACTGACAGTCGGTAGCTAACCCACTCCCGATCAATCGGCTCGGACTAGGTCTCGTACTGGACTGAAGGGTGAGGGGATCCACGGCAGGTCAGCCCTGTGTCATCCCCCCACTATATCTCCGTGGCAACCCTGGCACTTCGGTGGAGTCCCCTTGGTGGGCTCCATGGGGATGATGTTATATCCATATCGATGGATACTAAACCTTCTCCCCCTCCCTCTTCCGCGTGGAAGAGGGGATATCTGGAACCAACGATTTTTTTTTCAAAAGATGTACGATCGAAAATTCTCGTTTCCTCTCGATGAAGAAAAAACGCTCACGTTGGTGTTGTGGTACTTATCAGTGACTCCCTATTCTCTGAGGAACAAAAAGGTTCGAACCGACTTTCAAACTGTCTGCGTTCGGATACACCTACCATCTTTTTCGCTAACGGTGTGCAATACATACATTCCTCCTGGCCAAGTTGTCACTACAAGAACTTGCAGATGTTTTCTCAGTTGCCTGACCCTTTCCTTATTGTAGAGGACTTTAATGTCACTATCCCGCCTGGGGTGGCACAAGGTCCTGAGACAGTATACGTGAAAATATTGACAACTAGAACATAATTGTTCTGAATATTTGCGAAAGCTTTTCCCGTGCTTCAAACACTTTCTCGTCTGTCGATCTGACTCTCTGGATTCGATCACTCCAAAAATCTTTGAGTGGACTGACCTATGCGACCTGCCTGGCGGTGACCACATCGCCATTTTTGCCAATTTCGATATTCCCAACCCAAACGGCGCGCGACCTCCTCGCTGATTAACCCGCCGATGGTTGACCAATTTACTGATGTGCTTCATGCGGCATCAATTACCATCCCGAAGGCGTCGGTCGCCCACGACATCCACGCGCGGTGCGTGATCGGAAACGAGCACTGGCAAAACTTAGTAGATTCCCAACCATGGATAAGCTGATAAATTATAAAAGATCACAAGCCAGAGCTAGATTGACCAAAGGGAAGTCCACATCCTGGAGATCTTATACTTAATCACTCTTGCCGAACGCCCCCTTAAGTAGTGTGGCGAAAGTGTCGACTGATCGGTGGAAGACTTCCTTCGCAGTCTGTCTCACGGCGTCTGGTAAATTATAACCTTTTCTCCTCACCAGAAGAGATAGTAGAAGAATTGGCTTCTCACTACGAGCATATCTCCTGCACTCTAACCCCTATCTTTCTGAAGACCAAAAATAATTGAGAAATGCAGACTACATTTCTCGAGTCGCGTGGAGGAAGATTACAATGCTCCTTTCTCCAACAAACTCTTACAATGCTCCGTGGATGAATTTTCCTGTGCTCTCGCTTGTGCAAAAGATTCTGCTCCAGAACTACACCAGATCCATAATCAAATGCTTAAACACCTACCGGTAAATGCTCGTTCTTTTCTCCTCCGCATTTTCAACCTGATTTGGGATGAACATTTCTTACCAAGATTTGGCGAGAAGACACTGTTATTCCAGTCCCTAAAGAAGGAGAGAACAGAACATTCTCTTAAAGTTACCGCCCAATCTCGCTCATGAGCTGTGTGTGCAAGCTTTGAGAGCGAATGGTAAAGTCTGGTCTGGCTCTTGGAAAAAAGGAATTTAGTTACAGCGTTTCAGTGTGGTTTCAAGAAGCACAGATCAACTATGGGCCACATGGTCTCCTTTGCCAGGTCTCCACTTCTTTCGTGCTACAACACCTGGTAGCAATTCTTTTCGAGAAAGAGAAAGCGTATGACACCACCTGGATATACGGCATTCTTCGCACGTAGCATTCTTGAGACCTTATGAAACGGCTCCCTTCGTTTCTAGTAGATCGTCAAGATCTAAGATTTTCGTCAAGATCCTTCCGTGTCTGCCTTGGTGACACGTTATCCTGAAGGCACCAGTTAGAAGACGGTGTTCCCCAGGAATCAATTCTGAGTGTCGCTATTTGCCATTGCTATCAATAGTATTGCATCAGTAATTCGAGAGTCTGTGAAAGCATAGTTCTTCGTGGATGACTACTATATTCTGCTTCTCGAAGAGCCAGGAAGTTGAGAGGCAGTTAGAGCGTGCCCTCAACAGACTGCAACAGTAGAGCGATAAAACTGGATTTAAGTTCTTCTCAGAATCCACTTGCATGCACTACTATATAATTCATCACCTCCGTAATTTTCCTGTTTTTTTTTGGGGAGGGGGTCGTTAACTTCTCTTCGTCGAATCTGC